CACAAATCTACATTAACCTATACATACAAGATGACCATTTGACCACTAGTATATATATTACAAAAAAACACATTCACACACAAATCTACATTAACCTATACATACAAGATGACCATTTGACCACTAGTATATATATTACAAAAAAACACATTCACACACAAATCTACATTAACCTATACATACAAGATGACCATTTGACCACTAGTATATATATTACAAAAAAATACATTCACACACGTACCTACATAAACCTATACATACAAGATGACCATCTGACCACGAGTATACATTACAAATAAACACATTCACACACAAACCTACATTAACCTATACACACAAGGTGACCATCTGACCACTAGTATACATTACAAATAAACACATTCACACACGTACCTACATTAACCTATACATACAAGATGACCATCTGACCACTAGTATGTATTATAAAAAAAACACATTCACACACAAACCTACATTAACCTATACATACAAGATGACCATCTAACCACTAGTATATATATTAGAAAAAAACACATTCACCATCTGACTACTAGAACATGTTACAAAGAAACACATTCACACACAAACATACATTTTGAATCTTCCCACTCGTACAGTATCCAAAGTCAATTCCTTAAAATTTCTATGACTACATAAACTACATACTGATGATAATCATTATAAATCTGATTCCAAAGTGAAAACTTGTTTTTCTATAAGGCTCTACCTTGATTCTATCATCCATGATGCAGCCACCAAGCTAGCTCATAAACCCAGTAGAAACACTCAACCCTACCAAGAAATAATGAACCAATCATATTCCACATGTGTCAACATATCATCAGACCAACAAGAAGATCAAAGATAATATACTAAACAATTACACGATACTTAATGAAGACCCTACCACTAAATCTCTTTTCAAGGACACACCCATTATTTCTTAAAGGTATGAAAAAAATTGTGGTGCAGAATAATGACAAACAAAAGAAAAAAAGGAACAGGAGTTGTGAAGATAATGTTGCATTTATAACACCTTTTATTAGTTCTGTAGTTTGTAATATCAATAAAAAAAAGTAAGGGAATTGGGCATTCTGAAACATCTGATAAGCTTGGTCATTTGTTCAGCATTTAGACCCGCCTATCATTATCAGAAAAATCACTGTTTTGTATGTAATTTGGGGCTTACAAGAAGTATATGGAGAAAGATGTAATTTTTAATTAAAAATATATTGGAAAAACTGATAGACTCGTAAAACATTGGTGAGATTAGTAGAAGTAAGGTAAATCTGATCACCCTTTTAGTATTAAAATGAAAAGGAAATGTCAGGAATCATTGAATCTGAGAAAGCTTCAGTTGACAGGGATAAAGATGTACCACTTTAAATGGTGGATCTTTGTATATTTATATATGAATGTTTATTAGGCTGGAATATTCACATGAGTGATTTTTTGGTATTTGAATATTTTCTTTACCACTATTATTTTCTTGTAACATTTATTACTTTTTGCTTTGTCATTGTTGATAACGTAACTGTATAACAGATGATATCTGATAATTCATTGTTGTTATTTCAAATTATACCACCTGTTCTGTTCTGTTAAGCCTGGATTTAATTTTTCTGTATGGTGTCTACTTCTCGATAAAGATACGAGTTCTCACGTTGAGGAATTGAAGAATTTTCATTGGTTTCTTGCTGTTTGTCTTCATAAAACAATATTGCTAGTCCACAGGTGTTTCCATATAACTTACTTTCTACTAGTTACGTATGAAAACCTCATCAGCTGTTTATAACAAGAACCTAATATCTTGGATTTTACTTCTGATTACAAAACTTATTCTGTGTTGTATCAGCTATAATATTTACAGTATATTAGTATTTTATATTAAATCTATTCATGAGCCCCACCTCATTGTTTCATTCCATGGATGGTGATGCTCTGTATGTCTGATAGCTGTACTTCTCTTCAGCTTTACAGCAGACGAGTTTCCACTGTGGAAAAGCTCCTTTGTAATGCTTTAATGTTCTGTCCTGCATTCCTTCCATAATACATATAGTTTACCAGTACCCATTTCAATAGTAGCCACTGCAGCTCCCACATACCCTATATTTAACATGGTTCATCTGTATTTTACATGTAAATCATATATATATATATATATATATTATTTGAAAACAAGTAAAGTGGATGCTGTTTATTCATCATCAAATTTATTGTTAACAAGCCACAGACAACTACTGTAGAAGAATCCTAAGCCCAACAACTACATAGTATATATTTATACTATTAAGAAATATAAGTAAAAGCTATTTATTTTGACAATTAGAAAAAGAAGAACATATATATATATATATATAGATATTATTTTTGAACTTTGGCATACAGGAATTTAAAATTTTGATTATGTGAGATTTATATATTCGCAACTGCGACTTCACACTCAGATTATTCCATAGCCGAGAACTATATAATTTTCCATGAATCCCATATACCACTACTACTACTAGTAATAGGGCCTACTTAACCTATTCCCGGGTCTATGTTGGGTATACAAAATTATTTAGTGTAATAATGTTTAATGATTATTTAGTATTTATAACAAGAGTGTTGTTTGTTATTATGCACAAATCTACACAAAGAGCTATCTGTGCTTTGCCCACTATGGGTATCGAAACCCGGTTTCTAGCAGTATAAGTCTGCAGACATACTACAGTGTCACTGGGGGCATTTCGTTACATAACTTGATAAGCGTCACACGTTGTGTGTAATTCAACTGTTGTAGTATTGTTTATTTGTTTGTTATGGAAGGTTGTATACTTATATACTAAAAAAGAGGGCACCTCGAACAAACTAGAGTTGCCAGGAAAATTCATGAGCCTTCCAGAAACTCCAATGCGCATGCTCCC